TCTCTCTCTCTCTCTCTCTCTCTCTCTCTCTCTCTCTCTCTCTCTCTGGTACAAAACTGTGTCATCATGGTCTTTGGTGACTGGTATGCAGTACTGAAACACAAGGCATTGTCACAAAGACAGAAAGATTTGTTCTATGCCTGTTCTTTCATCAAAGAAATAAGGAAGTCAGTCTCAGATGTTAATACTCCACTCATGTTTTAACTTAATACTTGAAGGTCAGTGCCTGAGGCAAAGTCAGACTGAACATGTTAGCAAGTGTAGATGGATGTACTAGTTCAGCTAGGATTTTCTCCCTTGACCATTTCTCTGTAATGACAGGAATGTCACAATCCTTTACAGACATCCTGACAACCTAACACACCCCTGAGATTAGGCTGTGAGCATTTCGGCGTAGAATGCTGATGTCTAGATTTTTTAATGTATTCTAACCGCTAAACAAAACTTGCCGCAAAGCCACAACTGCAAGAGCTGGTTCCGGCACTCATAATGGGCTGCACGCAAGCTGAAATCCAGTCAACCTCAAGCAGGGTTTGGTCGAAAGCAATACACGGCCATGTTGTACATTGTGCTTATACACTGCTGGGTTGCGCCAGCCAAAGTTATTGCCCCTATGCTGGAGATCACTTATGCTACCTCTTCGTATTTTGGGTTAGTTGTATTTTTAAATAGAATATGGCTCTGTATTTCCCCCCAGTATTTAGGTACAGAATACAAATTATAGCTTAATGTTAACATGTATTTTTTTAAGGTAAAAACTGAACCGTATCGCTGTGCTTCTAATAAAAAATCAACACTGATTTATTTAAGGAACCATGGGTAGAATTAGCTAATCATAAGCATCAAAGTGGTTACACTGGTCTTTGCGGAAAACATTCCAAAGCACAAAACAGTTCTATTTGGATGAAGACAGGGCTGTCGTCTGACACAGCCAAGCCCTGTCCATGCTCACTTTCCTCCACCCACCTGGGTCAGCAAACTTCACAGAAAACTATTTTTTCACAGAATAGCAACACTAAAAACACTGAATGAACCATCCTGCATCAACAAGTCATATTTCCAGATTTGAAAGGTATTAGAAAATCATTTTCTGCATCAAAACAGGGAAGCAACATGGTGCCATGTCAGCAATTAGATGTGAACGAGCCCAGTAGATGGCCATCAATATTGGATAGTAGCTGAATATGCTGATATTAGTACAAATAGAAGTGTAATATCTTACCAGAGCCAAATCCAGCAACACCTTTTTCCAAGAGGAATGACTCAGAATTTAGCTGCCTTACCTACCAAATGGATAACTATCTGATGATTATTACTGCAAGCAGGAGGTCCTGATCTGGACTGGGACTGCAGTTGGGGGGTTAAAAACCCCCCCGTCTCCCCACACTAGGGACATGATACAGATGAGGACACTACACTTACCTCATGTTGTACCTGCTAGCTGTGTCTTTAAAGAAACGTGTGCTCTGGTCCATCGTTAATGCTTGGCTGATTGTCTTGGGTACTTCTCTAACAGTTCCAAGATCCCCTCAATTTCCTAGAACCAGCTATACCACAGCCTTCCCCAGCCAGGTGCCTCCAGATGGGCTGGACTAGAAGTCCTATAAACTCCGAACTAGTGGTTTTGCTGGCTAGGGATGGAGAAGGTTGTAATCCAATACATTTGGAAGGCACCAAGTTGAGGGCAGCTGGTATGCTTAAAGTATGTCATTGTCTAAGGAACAACTGCTGCAGCAAACCAGTTATGAACAGTCAGGTCTGTCACTTAGCACATCAAGAGCTGGGCAAAGGAAAAAAACTCAAGCGTTGAAGTAGTGTGCCAGGACAAATTAGCTAAGGACCTATGTAACACAAATAATCTAAAAATATGTATTTGGAAATACATACGATAGTAAAGTCACATTTGAAGCATGGGTAACATATGTTGCAAATTTATTATGCATTAGGAAGCTTATTAACTTAAAAACCAAACTGCATAGTACAAAAGGTTTGATATCTTTGCTTAAGGCGGAACAAGTTTCAAAATATATATATATATATATATATTTAATTTTTGTTCAGTCATTACACAATCCTTTATAAAAGCTGTATATCTGGTCAACACCCTCATTACACTTATAAATACAAGATTTACACAGTACCTCATCTGCAAAAAAAGTAAAACTTCTTACAAATATCTACATATATTCAATACATATAAAACATTCATAAGAGTATTTTAGATTTTTGTGTGATGGTCCATTTCCACTGCTGCAAAATACATAGAAATCTGTGTAATTTCATAAAATGCCTCTAAAAATTACAGCATGATACTCTGTAGAAACTAAACCATCTTGAACACCTCTTTTGGAAAAGCATGTCATACCTGTAATCCATGAGATTCTTCAGAGATTGAGAATGATATGAAGCTAAATACAGTTGATAACACACACACACACACACACACTAAGTAGCAGTTAAGGCAGGAGTGAAATTAACAGGGTCGGAGTGCTTCATATGGCAGGTAAAAAGTGACAGATGATGCAATAAATACACACAAGTCAATGTAAATTGCCTCAGTGTCCGGTTAATTAGTCTCTATGTCAGAACTGGCCATCTTGGTAATGCTAAGCAGTTCAGTGAGCACCACTAATGCCTTCCATCTACACAGAATAGCTTTGCCCACTTTGGGTTCCAGCTGGAGCTCTTTTTAGACAAGTCTAAAGTTTAGAGTCCTTGGGAATGAGAGGTGAAGCTTGCAAATAACTGCTATTTCGGTGGCTGAAGTTCTTCCACGACATGTCATCTATAAGTAGTTACGCAATACTCATTTTATCAGATAGCATATTAGTAGGAGAAGTAAAGTAGCATATGAAGGAGGGATTTTTGTAATTACTTTTATCCATCAGTAGCTTTTACTCACATACAGCATTTTCCCAAAAAAGCTACCAGGAAGTATTTACCCAATGAAAGTGCATAATGGAAAAGCTTAACCATTTAGTACTTTGGCCAGGGCTGTGGTTATCTCACAGTGAATTTGGGTACTCAGTGTTCAATTGTGTTTGAAAGTATTTTCTAATATACTGTATTCCAAATTCTCAGTTCAATATTGGGCTTGAGAGCATTTGCACCGATACATAAAAATAACTACTTCAGAGTGTTATACAAAAAACACATTAAGTGGTTGAAATCTGCCCGAATGGGACACCAGTGGCTACCTGTACAGTACACCTTGGGTGAGTGAAATGTGCAAAGCTTCTGATAGATCAAAAGCTCACTCCAGTTAAATCCTGCTCTGGATTCAGAGCTCAGTGCATGAGTTTTGCTTGCTTGCAGTCTATAGTAGCATTAGAAAATTCTAGCTCTCATACGCTGCTGTCTTGCAACAGTGGCTCAATGTCCTCATCGCTGCCTCTGTCTGGGTTGTTGCTCTGGTTACTGCTGATGCTGTTGCTGTGCTTTCTGGTACTGCTGGCTTTACTGTGCTCAGGGATGAATAAGGCAACTAGAAAAGCTAGAAGGACTGCACATGCACCGAACAGGAAAGGTGGGCCAGGTATAATTGCACTCTGCAGAGAAAAAGAAAGGATGAACTGCTATAGATAAATGACTGTAGAATGAAATATAAACAACAAGCCTATGCAAAGCTGTACCCACAACTAGACAGAGATGTTGTGAGTGCACTTCTAGTCACACTATTTAACTGAAAATCCAATCGAGCTAATTTTGACTGGCCCTAATAACCAGTGATACCCAGCAACCTGAATTCTGCTTCTGACAAAGAGGCCTCATCTCTAGTTTCATTCTGCACGGAGGCAGGACTGTTCCTGACTGCCTTCAGAACTCATCACACAACAGTGCATCACCTTTGTAGTGCTAGAGGCCACGTGCTGGGATGAAGAACACCCTGCTCAGGGAGACAGCAGAAAGGAGCAGGAGCAATATGGAATGGCTGTCTGGAATACAGAACCATGTCCCTACATCTTTGCTTGCTCAGCTGCAGGAAACATCAGGATATACTTCAGCTCCACTGCTGCCCTTGGTGGACTGAGAGAACTGGGACTGTTTCCTGGGACAACTGGAATGGGCTGCATTCCCCCAAACCTGAGGCCCCTGGGGGAACTGGGGGTTAGAAAAGAGGCTGTTTGGCATAATGGTGTGGAGGGTGAAGAGAAACATTTATGGGAGCAAGGGAAACAGCTTCTATGTTTTATAGATATTTTGGAAAAGGGCATGAAAGAAGACAGATGGTGAGAAATAGCAACTCCCTTTCCTGTGATCTCAGAGTATAACGAACAGCTTCAAGAAAGGGTGAGTTGTGCATTATTAATTCAATAGATATTATCAGCAAATATTTGTTAAATCCTAAGAACATGTTAACAACATATTAACATTTTAAATTACATCAATGGGCATAAGAAGGATAAATATGAATTATAGGCTACGCCAGGAATAATTATTTATATCCCACTCTTCTACAAAATATTTTCAGAATGGCCATACTAAGAGGAGACTTACTCAAGCCAGATCAAGTCTCAGAGCCTAAAAGGATAAAGCCCATGTCAGCCTGGATGAACACAGTATGAAGCCTGAGATACTTGTAAAACATTTTACCCAGGAGAGTCTTTATGGCAGGCTTTGGCAGCCTATTTGACACAAACTGTAAATTATTAAATACACAAGACTATAAACAGAAGCGCTGACTCAACCATAAATGTGTGGACATTCTGACAACTCCATTATAAAGCACCTCCAGCACACTGGCGAAGAGGAGACTGCATAAAAATAAATAGATGCGCTGTGGTGGCAAGGAGGGACAATGAATCACCTATTTATGACAAACACACATGGCTAAATAATCATTCAGTCTCGGTATTGTCCTTCCCCAAAGCTTTCACTCTCAGAATTCTTAAAGAAAGCGGACACTATCTCAAGTAGTATTTTTTTCATGAGCCTGAATGCAATCTCAGGTAGTTCCATGAGCCAGCAAACTAGAAGTAGCTCTTGGAAGTGTGAAAAGCATGTCCGTGTAAATAACGTTTCAGATTTGCCCACAGAGAACAGAAAAGAAAGGAGGCAAAGATGAAGACTCCCCACGACGAAGAACTGTTAGTAAGCAAGACTGTCTGAACAAAATGCAAGATGGGGGAGGAGTCACACAATTTGACTTCATGTCCTTAAGTGTATTCTTTAAGAAGGTATTGCATGTTTTTTAAAACGAGTTTCTAAAATAAATCCAAAATTCTCAGCCCAATGTACCTAGGTTTGCTCAACTGGTCTTATCAGGTCAGGTTTCAGAACTGAAAGCCAGGCTGTCACAAAATAAGATGCAAAAGAGCAGGAAATCAAGATATACTGCTAACAACAACTTTCTGATGCATAAAGTCAGAGCAACAGTGGCAGCAAGTTACATCCTGAATGTTTTCTGATTGCAGATTCATTGCATATTTTACATTTTGCATAGGCACAAGAGGTAGAAAAGGCCATCTTGTATGATGACATCATACTTCAATATACAGCAAGGCATGGAGATTTTGATTAAGGAATTTGCCAGAAAATGCTTTGATCGAGAGCTATTAAAAACCACTCTACCAATTAAGATTAATGGTCAGTTACCTCATCACTTGGATCCTGCATAGCCTTTTTATCCTGAACAGGAGCCAACTCGTTAAGCTTCACATGGAACAGAAAGAAGATAAAGCCATACAGAGCAGGACCAAGACCATTGCACAGACCTCTGATTCCAGTTATTATCCCCTGGACGACCCCTGCAGAAGAGTAAGTTAAGAGTGAAGGTGAAATCATTTTAAAATTATGATGCAAGAAGGCTAAAGACTACAGTTTAATGACTTTGAAGCTAACATGCAATTACCAGGCTGACCTTATTTCCTGCTGATCAAGTACTAATGAATACTCTTCAAGGATTAGCTTGACTGCAAAATAAGGCTGCAGACAAGTAATACAGTACATAGGTAGTAGAAATCTCCGTGTTTGGAAGTTTCAAAGTAACTGAATTAGAGTATTAATTTAAATGCAAGAAGACAGCTCTAATCCATATGCTTTTGCACTTGCAAAAGTTTTGTCACCACTAGGTGGCATTAGCTTCCACTTTCTGACTTCCAAAGATACTTAATTACAACAAGACTACTTATTACAGTAAGACTTACATCTTGACATTTTTCTGCTGTTGTTTACGCACTTAGGGTGCAATCCTAAGCTCACCGCCATCTCTACATGTGAGTCTCTGCACCCTGTGAAGCAGACTTGTGTCCTATGCATGGAATGAGGTCTGGAGGTGGTCTCTGCCACCACTACATATTTTATCTACATGGTCATTCTCAGCCAACTAGAAGAAAGCATGTGGGGGGACTGTGGTGCTGGATAGGTTTAAGTCCTTAGCCCCAGCCTCCTTCCCTCCCTGACTCCCAATACACCCATTGTTGGCCTCACTGAGGCCTACCAGTAATCCTGGAGTAGTAGCCAGCACATTTATTTATTTATTTATTTAAAACATTTCTATGCTGCCCCCATCGCAACAAAGCCTCGGGGCGGCTCACAAAAAATACAGAAAAACATACATAAACAATAACAATATAATAATTTAAAAGAAAAAAAAACATTTAAAACCCCCGGTTCATTCTCGGCTAATTTTAAAATCCTAATAAATACAATAATTTAGCAATTAAAATAAGTTTTAAATAAAAACTTAAATTCTATCTATCCCAGCTGCAACAGGAGGTGCAGAGAGGGCTTGGCCTTGGACCTGGGACTCTGCCAACCCTGTGGCCCCACTATTGATGTCAGAAGGACATAGAACCTCACCTTTACCCACACAAAAAATTTTAAAAGTGATTTCTCTTATCAATTTCACTCCCATTCTATGCTGTGCAGAAAAAATTGTCATCTCCTTAACAAAAAAGGAACAGATCCAGTAAAATTTATACATCCTATTCAGACAGTCTCTCTCATATGCACCCAGAGACACAAAGAAGGAGAGAGAGAGCACCTAGAGCTGGGAAGATTCTTTGCTCATAAACTTGCAGACCCTATGAGATTAAACTTGCTAGATTTGATTTTGGTAGCTTTCCTCTTTTCTGTGCTTCTGTTCTCCCCAACCCCCAAAATCATCTTTTAATACCCAATACTTTTAGAAACAGAGAGATCCAAATAGTCTGCCCACAGCGTAACATAAAACACTTTGAGAGAAAAATAATCTGTGCCACAACCAATATTTCATGAAAATGCTGAAGTCCAAGTACTACTACAGCTGGTTACAGATTTATACATTTGTGTTAAACCAAGAAAAATTGGATGGAAGGAAAGGAAAGTAGGTAGGTCTGCAAAACAGGTCAGCATACAAAGAGATGCCTACGCATCTACAGCAGGGATACAGAAGATACAACCCATGAGCTCAACTAACACCAAGGTACTTTAGGAGCAGCCCACAGTTTCTGCTTCAGTCTTGGCCCTGGCTGTGGTCCAGGGCTTCCCAAGAAATTAGCCTCAAGGGACTATATCCCTCATGGTTGTTTTTTTTTTTTTTTTTAATTCCCTGTCCTGGGGTAGAGAATCAACATTTCTGAAAGATCCATAGTATGCACAACTTACGTCCCATTAAGTATACAGAGATATTTTGGGTGTGGAGTGTGATACAAATCTTTTGAATATATGTATATATATAAATAGAAAAATCCATCTGTGCAATTGTATAGAAACAGTTTCTGCATTCACCCTGTTGGTCTGAGTCTGCATTTCGTGACACCAGAGCACTGATTGCTGGAAATGTAATACTTGACATGGCTGCTACAGCTCCTGCTGCCCACATCATCCTAAGAGCAAGATACAAAATAATGTCATTACATTATTTGCAAAGAAGAAGCTACACAGAAGGGCAGCTTTTCAGGTGTTAATGTCTCTTGTTGGTAGCATTACATTTAGAGCCAGGCTACATATTACAGTTGCCCCACAGCTGGCCTCCCCAGGCAAAGTGTCCCACCCCAGCAAATGAAGGGTTATAAGAACTTGTCACATAAAACTGGATCACTAGTCAGCAAGTTTTTCCACTCCACCAGTGCCAGCCAGTAACATCAGGCAGGGAAATCTGACAGGCAGTTGCCCCATTTCAACAAGTAAATATTGGTAAATGTTACAGCTGAGGAGCAGAATAGAAACCACAGCAACACTGATGCCGCCCATAGTAGCTTACAGTCTGGCTCTTAAACCCTTCCCACCATATAGAGTTGAAAATATTAGCACATAAATTCCATATAGCAAATGAGCTTTAAAATGAAAGATAAAATACCAAGTACAGAACTATTTTTGTTTGATAGCAAGTGCTAAATTTTTAACCATTTGGGAAGGCAAAACAGGGCAGTGGTTTTGTTTTCTCTTTAAGTAAAAGATCAGAGTCTAATCCTACTAGTATGAGAACCCTTGCACAATCCACCTCCTCCCAAAAAGAAAGAAGAGTAGAGACAAAGTGAACTAGCAGGTCAATTAGAAACTAGTGCAAAAACTGAAATAATCAAAAGAGCTAATAGTTTGTAGGATAGCCTTCCCTGACATGGAAAGCTCCAGATGTCTTAGAGTACAACTCCCATCAGGCCCAGCCAGAATGACCTATATTCAGGTATTACAGAAGTTACCACAAACATCTGGAAGGAACCATGTGGGACCCATTATTGGTTCACAAGTCCTATGGCAGGTTGTATCAGAACCAACAACACCATGAAAAGTGAAAGAAATAAGACACAGAACCCCAGATGTAAGTTTGACCTAAAGTTCAAGACTACAGATCTATAGCATTCTGAAGAGTTATAAAACATATGAAGATTTATTAATACAAAAAATCTATTTCACCTTTTAAGCCATGTCAGGCTCCAAGAGTAAGGGCACTATACTTACCAAGGCTGAGAACCAAAACCATACCAGGCCAGCTGGAACATCTGAAAACCAAGGCCAAGGAGAACTGTGTTTTTGTTTCCTATGGACCTCATGAGGATACTGAGAAAGACAGTCTACAAAAATAGAAAATGAATTATGTTGTTAAAGGCTTGGGGTGTTAAACACTTTTTAGTTTAAACTAAATGAATCTGTGCAATGTGAAAGAGATGCACAACACAAAGTACAAAACCTTTCCAATTAATTACAGTATTTGTATAGCATGTTTCTTACTTCACATGTTTTTTCTCAGTAATCTTGAAACAAGTCTATCAGTTACAACAGTATTATCAGTGGGAATAAAGGCCACACCACAAGGAATTCCTTAATTCTGCTACAGTTAAGGCACAATTTAAACTGGGAACTTTTTCCTCAAAAATGCATGCTCTTAACTTTTATGCTAGTTTTTCCAACAAGAATTAAGAAAATACATTTCAACATCCTTCCCCTCTAGCACTCCTATTGATTCCTTTTGCAACTCATTTAGAGGACCCTCAGCTCTGTACATTCAATGTTAGCCATGGAAAAACTCTTTAAGTCTCCCTTTAGAACAAACAGGCACCAAGTCCTCTGGCAGCTTTCAGTCAACGTAGAAAGCCACAATGCCAAGACAGTCATTTGGGAGAAGAATATTCAATCTATAGACTCAAAGAAAGGAAAGGAGTCCAGCCTCCTGTTGATGCAGGAAATCTGCCAAAACCTAAGAACAAACCAACTTTTCTCAACCTGAGTCCTCCAGATGCTTGTGTCATCAACTCCCATCAGTCCCAGCACACACAACTTCTGATTATTGGCCCATAGGAATTAAGGGAGAATGGCTTTTTAGGATGGTGGCTTTGGCACAGTTCTCCATTTTTAACTGCTATGCCTAAAATACTTCTACAAGTTACGGGGTTATGTTAAATGTGGCTCTTCCAAACTATTCTGATTACTAGAAATGGGGTGTGAGACACACTGTTCTTAAATATTATGCAGTGTTCTTGTATATAAGCAGCCTTAAATTCCTCTTTAGGAGGAAGTAAGATGAGAGGTTAATTTTTAAAATAAAGATTGCATTTTGCAAAACCCTCGTTCCACCACAGTTGTATTTTATGCGGCACACAAAAATGTGTGTTATGCACACTTAATCTTCAAAGCATGTGATTCACTACTTGTATGTGAATACTTGTCCATCTTCTGGCTGCTCATTAAAATCTACATTTCTGAAATACTATGCTCACCTGAGCAACTATTGAAAGAATCCCAATGACAGCGATGAATGCCGCAATGGTAGCATACTCAAATTTTATCACCTGTAGACAAAACAAAACACAGAAGCAATGTATATGGACAGTTTAAAAGCAACTGTTTCTTTTTGACTTCCAAAACGAAAATAAGATTTAAAGGACAGAATTATACAAGCCAGAAAAAAATGGTGTTCGTAAGACCAAATCTGGAAGACTAGAAGGTCAAAAGTGATTTCAGTGGTGGCTATCACTACAAATATTAAGATCTGTAAAAGAAAGGCTTCAATCAAGGTCGAGCACAAAAAGTAACAGGACAAACCTATGGTCCCTGGCAGAGCATCTCTCGGGCCACAGGTCAGAGGCAGAGCTCCAATCTTGGAGATCTAACCATGGACCCACCCTTTCCGCTTTCACAGAGTGATATGTGCCCCTCATCTCTCGGAGAAAAAGGAAGGGAGGAATACTGGTGATGTGTGCTGAAGGTGCAGTTCTAGCAAGGGAAGCTCTGGATCAGAAGGTTCCAAAGTTCTCTCGGCCCCTAACAATGCCCCAAACATCAAGAAGCATTTGTATCAGCTCTAGAATCAAATGGAGGAAGGATGGTCAATATACCTCCTCCTTTCCCTCTGTCTTAGTGGCAGAACTTCATTAAAACTTCAAGAAAGACACGAAGATAGGATTGCACCTTAAGTCAACTTTTGGTCAAAGAAATGCATGACAGTTCATGATCAGTAAGAAAGATTGTATTTAGTGTAAATTAAATTCCTGTGCAGGAGATAAAAGGAAACAGCAGCACAAATCTAATGGGGCTCTTTTCTATGAGCACTGCTGCCATGCCATGCCTTTTCCTTCATCGTTACCAATGTACATTTGGGAGTATGTGTATGTACATAGACATAAGCTGTCAGGAACCCCTGTGTACATGACTGCAGCCGGAACAAAAACCTCAAGGAAAATATACATTACCTCAGGCAATTAGACTTTGATTAGCATATGTTCTTTTTTTTTTTTTTCTTTTCTAATGCCACTGCACTGGCTACTCCCCTGTATCCTGGTACAAGGTACTGGAGATATACCAGTGGTTGCTCCTTAAACTTATTTTTAGTTTGCAACAAACCTTATTTCCACGTAAGCATCTCAAGATGTTTTGTATACCCCCCACCCCTTGGGCATCTCTTTACCATTTACTATAGTCCGGAATGTGTTTTATGCCAAGTTTGGTTTCTACTTTGGACTAGGACTTCTTATCTTCTCTACTGCTCTGAAACTACAGAGCAGAAGGGCAGACCACACTGGTTTCTGTCACCAGACAGCAGACCAAGTTCCACTAGGAGGCTGCACCTCTGCCTATAAGAAAGATTAGTCTGGTCTCATCCATCAGCCAGAACAGGAGCTGCAGAACAGTTGCTTCCCTATTCTCTGCCAAACTTCCTAACTAGAAACTGATGCCAGAATTTGTTTTCTTTTTCTCCTCCCTCCCAGTCCTTTTTCTTTTTGTATCATGTCTTTTAGGTCACAAGTCTGAGTACAGGGACAGTCTTATCACTGAACTTCATAAGCCTAGCCACAATCACCCACACTCTGGTAACCTCTCAACTGGACTACTGTAACGTGCTCTATGCGGGGCTGTCCTTGAAGATGGCCTGGAAACCTCAACAGGTACACAACAGGGTGGTGTGACTGTTGGTGCAAACAAGTTCGCACAACCATGTTTGCACACCCATGTTACTCCAATACTGATCATCTACATTGGTTGCCAATGGAGCTCTGGGCCCAATTTAAGGTGCTTCTTTCCACATATAAAGCCCTAAATGGCTTGGAACTAGGATATCTGAGGGATTGTCTGCTCCCATATGTAACCTACCCAAAACCTAAGGTCAGAAAGAGGCAAGGAGGATGGCAAACACAAAAAGGGCCTTCTCAGTGGTGTTGCGCCCCACCTATGAAATAGCCTCCCAAGAGCAGGGTGCCTGGCAGCTTCATTACCATCTTTTTGGTGCCAGGTGAAAACAACTTTATTTTGCGGATATTTTAACAGGTGATTTTATTCTCCATAATTTTAAAGGTATTCAGTTTTTATATATTCTTACTGTTTTAACTTATATTGTTTTAACTCATCAGCCCATAACTCCCACCTGTATAGTGTCACTGTATATTCCTGTTCTACTGTTGTTACTGTAGTGCTATGTTTTTACTCTGTTTGCATTGTTATAAATTGTTCTGCTGTAATCCACTTAGAGAGTCCGATGGGACTAGCAATGCACAATATAAGTTTAATGAATAAACAAACACATAAGCAAACTGGCATGGGAGCTTTTTACAGCTGAAAAGCAGGATAAAACTGGTTCAGATAATAACCCTAACACAGAACTTGAGTTCTAGACTTAAAGCATATCTCACAATTGTGCTGTTGTTGCTATCTCGGTCCCCAACTTAGTTATATGTATTGCCATCACATCTGATTTGCTTCATATTATTTTTACATATGGATCAATGCCATGATCTCAGTTCAAATCCAAGGTAGACCATTCAACATCACAGTAGTCCAAGTCTATGCCCCAACCACTGGTGCTGAAGAGGCTGAAGTTTACCAGTTCTATACACTAAGGCCTACAACAACTTCTAGAATTAACACCAAAAATTGATGTCCTTATCATCATGGGGGATTGGAATGCTAAAGTAGGAAGCCAAAAGATAACCGGAATAACAGGCAAGCTTGGCCTTAGTGTATAAAATGAAGCAGGGCACAGGCTGGTAGAATTTTGTCAAGAGGATACGATTGTCATAGCAAACACTCCTTTCCAACAACCCAAGAGACAACTCTACACATGGACATCACCAGACAGTCAACACAGAAATCAGACTGACTATGTGCTCTGCAGCCAAAGATGGAGAAGTTCTATACAGTCAGTAAAAACTAAACTGGGAGCTGACTGTGGCTCAGATCATGAGCGTCTTGTTGTAAAATTTAGGCTTAAATTGAAGAAAGTAGGGAAAAGCACTAGGCCACTCAGGTATGACCTAAATCATTTCCCTGATGGATATACAGTAGAGGTGACAAATAGATTTAAGGAATTAGATCTGATAGACAGAGTAACTGAAGAACTATGGATGGAGGTTTGCAACATTGTACAAGAGGTAGCAACTAAAACCATCCCAAAGAAAAAGAAATGCAAGAAAGCAAAATGGCTGTCTGAGAAAGTTTTACAAATAGCTGAGGAAAGAAGGGAAGCAAAAGGCAAGGGAGAAAGAGAAAGATACACCCAATTGAATGCAGAATTGCAGAAAACAGCTAGAAGAGATAAGAATGCTTTCTTAAATGAACACTGCAAAGAAATAGAAGAAAACAATAGAATAGGGAAGACCAGTTATCTCTTCAAGAAAATTGGAGATATGAAGGGAACATTTCATGCAAAGATGGGCATGATAAAGGAATGGCAGGGACCTAACAGAGGCAGAAGAGATTAAGAAGAGGTTGCAACATTACACAGAAGAACTTTACAAGAAAGAGCTTAACATCCCTGATAACCACGATGGGGTGGTCACTGATCTCGAGCCAGACATCCTGGAATGTGAAGTCAAATGGGCCTTAGGAAGTCTGAGCAACAACAAAGCTAGTGGAGGTGACAGTATTCCAGCTGAGCTATTCAAAATCCTAAAAGACGATGCAGTAAAAGTGCTACACTCAATATGCCAGCAAATTTGGAAAACTCAACAGTGGCCACAGGATTGGAAAAGGTCAGTTTACATTCCAATTCCAAAGGAGGACAATGCCAAAGAATGTTCAAAGTACCGCACCACTGCACTCATTTTGCATGCTAGCAAAGTTATGCTCAAAATCCTACAAGCTAGGCTCCAGCAGTATGTGGACCGAGAACCACCAGAAGTACACGCAGGATTTCGAAGAGGGAGAGGAACTAGAGATCAAATTGCCAACAGATGCTGGATCATGGAGAAAGCTAGGGAGCTCCAGAAAAACATCTACTTCTGCTTCATTGTCTATGCTAAAGCCTTTGATTGTGTGGATCACATCAAATTGTGGTAAGTTCTTAAAGAGATGGGAGTACCTGACCATCTTATTTGTCTCTTGAGAAACCTATATGAGGGTCAAGAAGCAACAGTGAGAACTGGACAAGGAACTACTGATTGGTACAAAATTGAGAAAGGAGTTTGGCAAGGCTGTATACTGTCGCCCTGTTTATTTACCTTATATGCAGAGCACATCATGAGAAAGGCAGGGCTAGATGAATCACAAGTTGGAATTAAGATTGCTGGGAGAAATATCAGCAACCTCAGATATGCAAATGATACCACTCTCATGGCAGAAAGTGAAAAGGAACTAAAGAGCCTCTTGATGCGGGTGAAGGAGGAGAACGTAAAAGTTGGCTTGAAATTCAACATTAAGAAACCTAAGATCATGGCATCCAGTCCTATCACTTCCTGGCAAATAGATGGGGAAGAAATGGAGGTAGTGACAGATTTTATTTTCCTGGGCTCCAAGATCACCGCAGACGGGGGCTGCAGCCAAGAAATTAAAAGACGCTTTCTCCTTGGGAGGAAAGCTATGGCAAATCTAGGCAGCATGCTAAAAAGCAGAGACATCACCCTGCCAACAAAAGTGCGTATAGTCAAGGCTATGGTTTTCCCAGTTGCAATGTATGGCTGTGAAAGTTGGACCATAAGGAAGGCTGAGTGCCAAAGGATTGAGGCCTTTGAATTGTGGTGCTGGAGGAGACTCCTGTGAGTCCCCTGGACAGCAAGGAGATCAAATCAATGAGAAGGAAGAACTCACTGGAGTAGAGTCTAATGCTGGGAACAATAGATGGCAAAAGAAGGGGATGGCAAAAAATGAGGTGGCTAGATGGAGTCACTGAAGCAGTCGGCGTGAGCTTAAGTGGACTCCGGGGGATGGTGGGAGACAGGAAGGCCTGGAGGAATGTTGTCCATGGGGTTGCAATGGGTCAGACACCACTTTGCGACTAACAACAACAACAATGCCAAGAGAAGCAAGAAAGAGATTTTGACAAGTCAATCTGTCCATCTGGCTGTGCTGCCCATCAAGAACATACCAAATGTACCAACATACAAACTGGAAACTTTAATATCCTCTGGTACCTTTATTTTTGCCTAACAATAATGAGAATTTGTTCCTGGCATGCTCTCTTACAAAATGCATGAATATGCCAGTTCAAAGATAGCTGTGAGTGCTTTCAAGCTGTGGAGGGAAATCCACAAAGGCTTGGATCCTAACATTTTTCTCTGTGGATTGATGAAGTGTTGAATTCCTTCCAGGGGTGCATCTGTGAGGCAAATTTTAAAAATCAAGATCTAAGCCATACTGCTTTAAAGCTGAAAAACTGTACTGTGCTTTCAGAATAAAAACAGTGGAACGTGTTATGGGTCAAAGTTGCCTATGGCTACACCCAGAGAGATTTTTCAGACACAACAAAACGTTGCAGAGGCCCAACAATGAGACATTTTCTTCTGAACAGCAGCTCTAGATGATGAACTAGAAACCCACGTCTGAACCTCCTGAGTTTTCAAAAACAGTTTTCCCTATGGCATCTGTGGGTAGCAGAAGCAAAGGTTGCTGCTAAAGGAAGAAAGAGGCTGGCTACAAACATACAATTAGTCCTGTAGTCTGAATTCTGACCACTGTGCTCTTTTGAAAAGTTAGTGTTTGTATCAATGACTGGATCAGATTAAATTCCATACCACCCTAATTCTAAAAATTTCTTGAAATTCTCTGATCGAATGGCTACATACTATGTACAACTCCAGTACTTTAAAGCTTTATTTGTGCCCTAGGCATATTAGCAACTTACCAGAAATAATGTGGAAGAAGTTAGAAAAATAATTCCCAAATTACTAGAAATTACTTACCTGTCTCAAGTACAGGAAAAAGCTAGAATACTGGCCAGCTTCAGGCAGGTATGAAAGAAAGACAGTGATGCAGGTCAGCAAAATCGTAGAATCCTTTCCAACTCTTTTCAATGACTATCAAAAGATTGAAGAAAAATAAAATGAACCCGAGTATCAGAAAAAGTGCAGTCGGTTTGGACCAAATTATTGCTTTAGATGCATTAATCAGAAAATATTCTACTTATAGTGTGTCCCAAACAAGTAGGAATAAGGGGTCTTCCAGAATTATTTCTGTCATTTGTGAGATTCCCAGGTTTCTAGAAGCAGCTTTTTAATGGAAACCAAGAAGTGGACTAAAATGGACCCTTTGCCTAATTCGTCAAGGTACTTCTGCTCCCGCGGTGGCCTCATTCTCCTCCTGAAAGCCCCTATAAGAACTACTAAGTAACAAAGGCCTCACAGCTCCCAGTCGGTGAAACTGGGCCACAGCAACCAGCACTGACAATGTTGTCAATGTCTTTGCAGCTGGAGTTGCTAGCATGATTTGAATTGCTTAGGAAAGTTAGGTCAGGAGAATTATCCCCACAGAGCATACACAGAAGAGGGCTTGATGGCCCATTTTGTCCAGTAAGCTCCCCTTCTTCATAAGGCACACTGGCTTGTCTACACAATAGTCTCCTATCCCTGGCTGCCTGAGTTAATACTAAAATAAGAAAGAGATACTAAGTCATGCAAAAACCTCTGAGATTTTATGGTTATTTGAAATGTGTCATCATGACCTTACTAGTCAAAGGATTTACCTACTAATCAAAGGATACGGTAATAAATTCTTTGATTGTCAGGGTCTTGGTTAGTAAGGACCCTGCTAACCAAATCTGAACAAACAGTGATGATTCCACGGAGACTGATGCTGGTTTAATGAACCCCTTTTTATGGATATATTGTTGTCTGTCACAAGTCAGAGTGTTTTTTTTAGGCACTGGACAGTTTTCAAAGAACCACTTTAGGCAAAACTGAGGATATTTTGTCAATGCACGCACAAAACCTCTACTGAAAATACCTGTTCATGCATTGTCCACCAACAAACAAAAAACTGAAAAGAAGAACACAAATAATAACTTACTATTCAGTCTTCTGATTTTAGTCCTTTTCGGGATGGGGTTGCACTTCCCCTAAAGGACAGGGTGTGCAGTTTGGGAGTGCTCCTTGACCAAGAGCTGTCCCTGGAGTCTCAGGTGGTGGTAGTGGGAAGGAGCGCTTTCCTTCAGCTTTGGCTGATGCATCAACTACGTCCTTACCTGGATGAGAAGTGCCTAGCAATGGTGACCCATGCTCTGTTAACTTCATGTTTGGACTATTGTAATGTGCTTTACATAGGACCACCCTTGAAGACGGTCCAGATACTTCAATTGGTTCAGAATAGAGCTGCCAGGATATTAACAGTATGAACATATAATGCCGGTCCTTTACTATCTACACTGGCTACCAACTGAAGTCTAGACCCAATTTAAGGTGTTGGTGATGACCTATAAAGCCCTAAATGGCTTAAGGTCTTGGTTATCTGAAGGAGCATCTCCTTCCCTATGTGCCTTCCCACCCCTTAAGATTTGGCGCACAGGTCCTTCTTTGGGAGCCCTCCTAAAGAGATTAGGAGGGTGGCTACCCAGAGAAGGAGCTTCTCGGCGGTGGCACCCTGGTTATAGAATGCATTCCCCAGAGAGGTTCGCCTGGCGCCGACTCTGTATTCTTTTCAGCACCAGGCTAAATTGCTCACTATTTTAAGGCTGATTAGGTTTTAATGTGGGGTTGGGGGGGAGGGTTCTAGACTTATTGGCTGCTGTACTTTATTTTATTCCGTTTTATTGTAGACTGTCCCAAGACTGTAGTAGTCAGATGGTATATCAAAGCTTCAAACAAACAAACAAACAAACAAACAAACAACTTACTGCAAAAGGATCTGCTTGTTCCCATGATATAAGGGCTCCCCAAGAAGGTGGTCTCATTTTTTCTGGTAAAGATTCTGGTACTGCCAGTAGAATGAAACAGATATCGACCACGGCCACCACCGTAGCAACTAAGACCACCAAGTTATCACCATATAAACTAGACAGGTGTGCTCCTATGGCCGGACTAATTACCAAGCTTGCTGCAAATGTGGCAGATACCTAAACATGGAAAAAGACATCTCATTTAAATTGTTTCACTAGGAGACACCATAACTACAATAAAGAGGTGGAGAGAAGACATTTCAAGAATTAAACAAAAAGTAATCATTCATGGATTTGGGACTTAGATTGCTTTATGCTCGTATGCTGCAACAGCTCTAAACTTCCTCTCATCTAGACTACCCAACAGCTGCCTTAAGAACAGCACAGTGGTGGCCAAACTGTTACTTTACTGTAGGATATAAATTATGCATTTGTTGGTTTGCGTATTTTTTTAAAAAAACTTCAGTTATAATAGGGCTTCACGCTGCAACCCCAACTCCTCAATTCATTGTGAGTTCAGTGAAAAGCTTGCTGTAAATGTGTAAGTTTTAACATACATAATTCCAGCAGCCCTACATAACCAGAATGAAACATTTCTAACACACACACCTTGACAGTATCACTATTCTAACTTTGCAATCATTTATTAAAGTCAACAGCAAATGTGTTTATATTATTCTCTGAACAGTGAAGCACTAACGATGATAATTTGGCAGTAACATTTGATACACCTCTCTCAGATTCAGCTGCCTGCCAAGACATGATACTTCCCAATCTTTAGCATTTCTAAAATTCTCCCTACTGGCACTCTTCATCATTCTTAAACTGGACCATTGCAATATCCATTCTGACTTTTCAGCTGTTTTAACACTTTTCTTTTGTTCATAACTCTGCTACCTGCCTCATTTAGTGACCACATAGTTTCAATCACACAGTCCTCCTTTCTGTTCTTTATACTGGATTTATCTTTCATTTCACATTTACTATGAACTCCTTGCCTTTAATTGCTTGTACTCTTTAAGCTCAGTCTTATCTTTTCTCATTATCTCTATGCCTCAGTCTTTGTTGTCAAGACTAGAAATTCTATTCTTATTCTCCGACTTCATCCCTTCCCCCTGGCTGCACTATCCTATTATGACTCATGATAACCCACAGGAACACCCTGCTGAAAATATGGATCAAATTACATTTAGACCAAAAGCCCAAGTTGTGAATTTGAGGACTAGGAGAATCGTGTGACAAATTAGAGAATATTGGCTGCAACACTAGAAGGCCTATACGATACTACTACTACATCTTATATAGTATTACTGAAGTTCTTTTGGTTACAGATACTTAACTCAAAGACAATACCAGCCAAGAAAACAATGGACAGACAAGCTGGGTTTTCTACAGTTTGCCACTTTGCCTAAGCATTGTCTATGGCAACAGAAACATGAAAGCTGCTAAAGGACTGCACTTTATTTTAGCTGAGTTTCGCTACACAGTCTGTGCGAGGTAAGTCCTTCAGGCACTCTGTCCTGAACGACACTAATGGGGATTAGGAGGAGGAGAAAAAGAGACATGCATTTGGCTCTTTGGTTCAACTTTATCCACTAAACACAGCTCCTCTAGACAATTAATGATGAAGGAATGGCTGGGTTCTCAGAGAAACCTGAGAACCTGGATGTACTAACCTCTTCACTTAAAAATAGAGAAGTATTCATGCTAGAGAAGGTGTCCGTGCAACAGGGAGTGAATAACCCTTTTTTGAAGACTGAACTTTCTCCAAAACATCATAAGACCATAAGAAAAGCCATGCTGGATCAAACCAAAGGTCCCTATAATTGCACACTCTGTATACATGGTGGAAAACCAGTTGCCCACAGGATCTCTTGAGCAGGATGGGTGCAAGACCTCTTCTGCCCAAGCTCCTCAGCAATTGGTGTATGCAGGTAGGCCACCTCTGGTAAAAGAGGTAGCATACAGCTGGCAAGTCCAACAGCCACTGAGAGTCTCCATCCTCATGAGTATGTCCAATCCCTTTTTAAAGCTAACCAGATTGGAGGCCATCACCACTTACTTGTCAATGAATTCCATAGTTTAACTATATGCTGTGTGGTAGTACTTCCTTTTACGCATCTTAAACCTCCCACCAATCAAGTTCAAGGGATGACCTGAGTTTCAAGACTTATGGGAGAGGGGGAAAAGACTCTCTACTTCCTCCACACCATGCATAATACAGACCTCTATCATGTCTCCTTTTACTTGTCTTTTTTCTAAGCTGAACAGTCTTCGTTGTTATTTTTGCTGCCCTTCTCTGTAGGTGTTCCAACTCAATAATGCCTGTGTTCAGGTAAAATGACCACAACTGAGCACAATATTCAAAGTGAGGTTGCACCAAAGGGAAGTCAGATTTTGCCAGTTCTATTTTCTATTTCATTCCTGATTATGCCTAGCATGCAGTTTGCTTTCCTCACAGCAGCTGAGCACTGGGCTGAGAATTTCATCAAGTTTTCCATTACTAACCCTTTCTTGCTTAGTCAGCGCCAGTTCAGATCCCAGCAGCAAATACTTCAAGTTGGGATATTTTGCCCCAACATGCATTACTTGCATCCATGAATTTATCAGCCAAATATATGGCAACAGCACAGCTTTTTCTAAAGAAACCCTTGTATCTTACAGGCCTCAATGTGAAGTTTTCTTATACAAGTCTACCTCCCTCACCACAATCTCAGTGCTTTAACACTTCATCAATATGTTTTTAGCAAGGTGTTTTTCAGACAGTTAAGTACTCTACTTTGCAGAGGTTGCCATGGTGCTTATGCAGTAATGAAGCAACAAGGGAAATGACTTTCTAGAACTTTAGCGAACTGAAAGCACAGTACTGTGTCTTGGCAATTAAGTCTGCCTCAAAAAGTAACATAATATTGTTCAGTGGAGCCATCTTTGATTAAGCACTAGACATCCAGACATGACACAGCCTCCTACTACTAGCAACCTTCTGAATGCTTTTCTTCAGTGACCCAGGATGGAAGAGAAGAGGAAGGAAAAGAAAATTCTTTCATAGACTCAGGAAGGAGCTTCTAAAGAGCTATTTGTACTAGTAGTTGCTGTTGTTTTCTAGAAAGACAGACAGACCCAGCTAGCCAGCCATTACTTGCACTCTGGAAACATTTTTTTAATTCTGTGGCTTCCATTTCTAGAACCCAGTTCCTACACATTTCTGATTATCATAAAGGCAAATTCAGTTCCTCATCATCACACCCGCAGTTTACCTGCCAGATATATACAGAACAAGGAAAGTTGATAAGAGTAAGTTATCATGACAAACTGTGAAAAATTGCCTGTTATTCTAACTTTTATTCAAAGGAGGAGATATGGAAGGTGGCAATCATAAACTTTTAATTAGACGGTATGAAGACGAATGCAAGTACCAATTCTAGATACAAATATCCATATTAATCCTTTATAGACCCTGCTCATTAGTGGCGCAGTAAAAGAGGCCTTTCATAAAAAGTATTTGCTTCAGGGGCTCAGACTGGAGCATCCAAGAGTGGGGAAACTATGCTAGAATAAATTTCACTACATGGCTCAATTTCAGGCAACTATTCTAATCCCATTTGCAGATATTTTGCAATTCCATTGTCAAAGGCATTCAGATGTGCTCTCTGTCATAAACAACTTAGCCAAACCCTCAGTCACCATCTTACTTTTTGGGATGAACAGGGGGAAATCTCTTATGTCACTTTTAGGGTAAAGGCTTTACTAAAAGTACTAGAAGAATTTCACACACGTGCGCGAAAACCAGGAGACGTAGGGGGATCAGATTCAACTTGCTGGTCCTCTTAAAGCTGAGGGCCCAGAGGAAACTATAGTGGCAGCCACTGTGCTGCCATGTCTGGCCTAGCATGCAACTTTCATGCTTTCTCTTTGCCTAGAAGGCAAATCATCCTCAGGCAAGAGAGAGGCAGACTGATGCACATGTTGGACATGACTGAAATCAATACTGGCTATCCTAGGCATGTTGAAAACCAATAGGAGTCCATGCTTAGCTAAATCAGGGTGGGGAATCCTCAAATCCAATTCAAGCTGGCCCTATGCCAGGACATAAAGAGATACGCGCCAATAGTGAGGTGAACAACCCACAGCATTTATCCCACCATTTTCACACACAGACCCAATTCTCACACATACTCACCCTATTCACTTGGACACACACCCTTCCCAGAATTGCATCCCACCCTACTCCACCCCCTGCAGGTGGTTCATGTAGACTGACTGAGGAAGGGAACATGTTCATCCCCACTGTGATTTAAACCTCTCCACCAAGCCACATCATGATGGTGATAGAACTTTGGCTGGGGAGCCCAAAGGACCTGATCCAGCTCCTAACTGATCTGCCTTTGCCTGAGACAAGGGATCAGTCCTCAGTCAGGGAAGCGGAAAGGCAGGTGAAGCCCAGTGAGGCAGTGCCTCAAGGGCCACTCATTCAGGCTGTGGTTCAGTCAAGAACATGGAAGGGCTGGGGCATCAGGAAGCAGCAGGAGCTTTGCCAGAGCCTTGATGGACAACATCTATCACCTCAGAGGCCTATGCAACCCATGGACTGGAGGTTCCACTTCTACAGGATCTACTCATGGAATAGCTTCTAAGCACACTATACTTTACAAATGAATTTCTTGTCTAGGGCCAAGTGCTACCTAGACCAAGTTAAAAGTTTGTTATTGCTCATGACTGCATATACCTCTAACCTATTTCAGCCAGCATGTGCAGTGTGAAATAGTCTCAAAATCTCAAAAGACGCACAGAAAGTACTGGACACTTCCAGGTTCACCATCTGCAAAAGATTAAACCAGCAGCACCTGCCAACACTGCTGTTGGTGAGAAAGGGGCAATTCAGGGAGACAAGAGCTAGAGTAATCTCTGGATAGAAATACCAATGGGGATATAGCCTAAGATAGTTTGGTATCCCAGGGCCTTCAACATTCATGGAGGAATCAGAATACAAAAGGCCAAGTTCAATAAAGAAGCCTATCTAGCACATGTTGAATTAACTAGCTGTCCTGCCTTTCTACGCTACCAAGTTGAAAGAAGAAATTGGCCATTACTAAGAAACCAGACTCCTACTCTGCCTTGCCTTTAAAATCAGTAAGCTAATCCAGTCCCATATCAGAAGACAAGCCATCCCACACCTGACACAGATAAGTGTCCCACTTCCTATTGTGTAGGTTCAGGCTTTTTGACAGGAATTAAGAAACCTAAGCTTCTGTTCCTTTACTGGGTCACTTTTTCTTGAGGTTGTTATGGATGCAAGGAGAGTGGTCCTCTTCAACACAAAGTCAACTGAACATGCCTCACTCAAACACAGCTAAACTGAGTGAAATTCATACTTACCATTTAAAAAAAAAATGTGAAATTGCCAATGAATCCTGTTCATGCTAATGTGAGAACATAGCTATACAACTGAAAATGTGGGTCAAGAAATTGTCTTACCAATCCATATGCAGTGCTTCTCTCATGTTCTTGTGTTATGTCAGCTACATAAGCAAATATCACAGAAAATGTAACAGCAAAAATCCCAGACACAGAAATCATAGCGAAATACCACCTGAAAAATTAAGAGACATTTGTGTAATGAAGCTTTTGATCATGTAAAACTGTAAGAAAGCATCAACTTAGCTACTTTATCACCTTTAATTAAGCATTCCATTTTGAACATCCAAATTAAAAGAACTGAGCTGACATACTTGGACACAGCAGCAGTAATTAAATCCAGCCTTGAAATAAATCACTTTCTTCTAGTCAATTATCTTTTCCTAGGAGGCATTATTCTAGTTTCTTTAGAACACCAAAAACCCCTACTGTCATTTGTGCCACTTACCATGGACTTATCTTCATTAAAGGAATCGGGACACAAGTGAAGAAAACTGTAACAAGTAGGAAAGACTTTCGTCCCCAAACATCGGACAGAGCACCTATCAGTGGAGCACTCATGAATGATAAAAAACCCTAAGGAGGAAATAGAAGTGAGGTTAATGCATTTTGTTCACTCTTATATTTACCACACCTTCCCCCAACTTGGTACCCTCCAAATGTATGGGGCTTCATTTCACATAAGTCCCAGCTAGCATGTCCAATGGTCAGGAATGCTACGGGTTGTAGTCCAAAGCACCTGAAGGACACCAGGCTGGGAAAATTCAGTAATGCAGTAACAACCACATACATTTTGAAAGCACCAGCTGATAAAGCACAATGTATAAAAGCCAAAGAAACAGACTGGAAAAAGGGTCAGACATGTTTAAAAACTTATTTACATGCTCATGCAGTAGGCCAGGTAGCCACATTGTACAAATACTGGATTAGTTACTTTAAAATTTGACCATACTCTTGAATAATGACTAAGACTATTTCCTTGGCAGTAGCAAAGGCAAAACTGCTAAACAAAGTCACAGTTCACTGCATTAGAAGTATCCAATTCAAAAGAACAAGGAAGGAGAATGCTATGCTATGCTATGTTTTGCTTATGCTATGTTATGCTATGCTATTTTTTTTACCAGCCCAAAGACCAAACCTCATTTTAGAAAAACTCTTGGGGATCACATTCCAGTCATGGATAGAGTCAAATCCAAGGGAGTATACACCAGTACATTCTGACTTAAAGCTCATAGAGCCACTAACTAGGCTTTGGGAGAGGAACAGGGGAAAACCTGGCAAGAGCCAGAAGCCTCAAACGCTCTGCAGATGGGGCAAAGGAGAAGGGGCCAGCCGAGAAATAGTGGCAGATCTCTCAGGGAGGCCAGATTTACCCTGTAAGCCTGAGGCTCAAGACCACTGCAACTGAATGAAGACTGTGATGCTTCTCAACTGGAATTTTTCAGCATCAGAATAGGAAATGGTCACAATAGCTACACACTGCTATATCCACAAAGTCAAATTCATTCTGTTCAAGAAATTAGTCTAACCGAAAAATATGGACTGATGGAACTTGAGATGGGAACTATCCTAACCTCCCTCTAATTTGGAAATGATTAATCAAAAATTAAGAAGTACTGGATACTCAAATGTATCTCTTCCCCCCAGGATTGGTAATATGTTTTGCACTGCCAGTCTTATTTATACCACAGCCAAAACATGTTTCCAGGACAGGTTATAAAGCTTTAAAATAACATACATAATTAAAATATACACTCAGAACCAAAATGTGCAACATGCAAATTGACTAACACATACTAATGTCATTAACTGTGTTAGTCTACTTGCATGCTGGATATTTTGACTTAATAGCTTTTTTGCACGTCATGCTAAGTCACCCTCTCAATGTTATGCAGGGCTGGTTGTTCACACAACAACTCCACATTGCACTGGATAGCCAAATCAGACTCTCTGTGACTTGTTCTTCTCCTTCCCCTTCAGTCTTCCAGCTGGTATCTACTGTCCTTTATGCCAGGCCCTAACTTTTCTCCCCCGACCACAATGATCACTATCCCTTTCTGGTCACTACCATTTTAAAATGTATTTTTGTGGTTCCAAAACTGTGCAGTTGGGGACTTTAAAAAAAAAATCTAGCCCCGGAAAATGTGCAACCATGTTAAGGCATTTATTCATTAGCCTTTTGCAAGCGTTCACTCAGGCTGCCCAGTATGTATAGTCTAATTTTATCAACGCCAGTGTATATTTCAACTGTCAAAGCCAGTGAAGTAGGTAAGGTACCTACAAGGCCAGACTGCATATAGTCTAATTCGCACATGGTTGTGAGGGACCAATTATCTAGCCATCAATGGAAAAGGGCTAGGTGAAAAAGCAGTGAAAGTAGGCACACCAAAAGAAGTGGCAGCAGTCCCATCCATTTAGCAATGTAATCCTCTCAGGTTTAGCTGACATTTTCAGGTTTAACTGACAGTTCTCTCTATGCTCAATCATGTCAGCATTTCCTCAAATCTCCAGTGGATCCTCAAAGAAAAGATACCAAGTTTTCATCACTCATTTTCAGAGCACTTACTACCAAGACACCCTGGTAGTTCTAATATATATATATATAATATATATATATAATATATATAATATATATATATATATATTATATATATATTATATATATTATATATATTATATATTATATATATATATATATATATATATAT